GTTCTGGGCCCCCCACTATAGAAAGGATGTAGATGAATTGGAGAGGGTCCAGCAGAGGGCAACCACAATGATTAGGGAGCTGGAGTGCATGACCTATGTGGAGAGACTGAGGGATTTGGATTTGTTTAGTCTGCAGAAGAGAAGAGTGAGGGGGGATTTGATAGCAGCTTTCAACTTCCTGAAGGGAGGTTCCAAAGAGGACTGAGAAAGGTTGTTCACAGCAGTGATGGATGGCAGAACAAGGAGCAATGGTCTCAAGTTACAGTGGGAGAGGTCTAGGCTAGATATTAGGAAAAGCTATTTCACTGGGAGAGTGGAGAAGCACTGGAATGGGTTACATAGGGAGGTGGTGGAATCTCCATCCTTGGAGGTTTTAAGTCTAAGCTGGACAAAGCCCTGGCTGGGTTGATTTAGTTGGGATTGGTCCTGCCTTGGGCAGGGGGCTGGACTTGATGACCTCCTGAGGTCTCTTCCAGTTCTATGATTCTATATGAAAATGAACACTTGAGACATTTATTTATTATCAATTAAGTCATTATACCAATAGACTGTATATTAAAAATGTAACTTTAATTATGAGTTTCCACTGCAAGCAAACCTCTTCATTTTAGGAATGCTTTTCTGGCTTTGTTGTGTGCAAACTTGTTTATAATTAAAAAAAACTCTAATTTACATGCAACATCACTGTTAATGTTAAGCCTTGCAAACCCATTCAACACTTTTGTCCCATTGTAGAATGAATATAGTTCTTTACTTGTTTTAACACATTGAATGTGCATTCACCTAAAGTGACTGATGTAGGAAGACTGACAAAAATACAAAATGCAATTGTGATATTTGAAAATACAGTTGACAAGCCAAGATCAAATATTTCTTGAAGCAATTCTTTTGGCTTGCAGTCCGATTTAAAGTTGGTGGAATGTATATATTTCAGGAAGACAATCTTGTCACAGATCTCTTCAAATTTCATTGCTGTACCTTTGTTGAAGCTGTTCAACCTCTGAATATAGATCTTTATTCCTCTGAACTCCCA